AACAAGTTTTTGGAAAAGGGTTGAGGGGAGGAGAGAGGGGGGTGTGCTTTGGGAAGAAGGGGTCAAAATTGCGGAGTTGGACGAGGGGTTGAGGAATAAAAAGGCTCCGCAGGGAAAGGGGGGGCGTGGTGGTGGTGGTCGTGGGAGAGGAGGGAGAGGGAGAGGAGGGAGAGGGAGAGGAAAGGATGGGAGGGGTGGGAAAGGTCGAGAGAGAGGAGGTGGGACTGCAGGTGGAAGTTCTGATACTACTGCAGAAGAAGCTAAACCTGTGGAGGAGACATAGAGAAACCAAATTCTATAACAAATATCAACGTATTCAAATCCAATATTTAGTATTCAAGCTAACAACACATGTTCATGGACTGCAACGTAATAGTCAATCGAAAGCTATCGTAAAGAAAACGTGAGATGAGATGGTATAGAAATAGAAATACACAAAGAAGATCCAAGCAAATGTGATAGATAACATAACAAGCAGTCTTTATTTCGAAATAGATTTCTTCTGTACATTAGCACAATGCTATAATGCTATATACTTAATACAATCATTCTTTATACCTTCTCCGAGTAGAACAATAGCTTCATATCATCTATATCAACCCCCCTCCCATCTCCTTCTTCCCTCTCTTCTCCCTACTTCCTAACCCCCCTTATAGTCTCCATTCTATATAATAGTCCACAATCATCCTCAATCCAACACCAACACCAACACCACCTCATCCCATTAACAACCCCCCCCAAAAAAGAAATGTGCAACCACATAACCGTACAATACGCGTGCACGCACCGCTCACACACCTTCCTCCAAAAGACCTGTTGGGCCGTCAAAGCTTCTCTTCCCTGTCTTGGATCTACGACCAAGATGGAGATGATTCGCGAGTGGTGTGCTGGGTGTAAGGTTATGGCTGAGCTTGCTGCTGAGAGGGTTAGGGTGAAGTGTGGGTAGATGGTTGAGGAGGTGACGAAGGGTAAGTAAGTAAGAAAGGGAGAGTGGAGGAAGATGATAGATTCGTCGGATAGGTAGGTAGGTAAATAGGTAAGTGTATTATGTAGAGTAATATGTTCTTTTGTACCTGGTATAGGACGGTAAGTTAATAATAATATAATAACTTTTTTTTGGATTCGTATAGTTTTTCTTGGATTTGTCTTTTGTGTGTGAAAACGTTGTATACTTTGATATGAAGTGATGTGATATATATACCTAAAATTTTTGCTCCTCTGTCATCTAAATTTCAACCTCCCCTCATGTTCCTGCCAAAAGTTCCTACACAACCTATGCCCCCAATGCTCGATCCACCACTCCCCAAAACTATCCTCAACCTTTACATCTATCTTTGTAACCCTCTCTTCTCTCTTCAATCCACAAATCACACACGCTTTCGGTGCTGGTAATCCCCCTTCTTGATTCTTCACATGCATAGTATCCCCTATTTCTGGGATCGTCAAATGTTTGGATACATCTTTAAGACTTGTATTTGCTACAGCTACAGCTGAGCGAAGTCGACCTAATTGTTCTTTCCACACACGGATCGTTTCGGTAGCCTCGCGTTCTTCACGAGCAATTTCGGCTTTATCGACACCGGTTAGTTTCATGCCACCTTTGCCGCCAGCAGGGCCAATACTCATACCCTGTGAGAGATGAGTATCGCGCTTCCAACGGAGTTTGCGGCCCGCAATGATGTGTGCTGCTACGGTGGCAATGAGTAGGTAGGCCCGGAGAAAGTTAATGGTGGTGGGGTCTGACATGATGCGATTTTTGAGGGAGAAGGGTTGGTTTGCTACGGCTTTGAAGAGGGAGGATTGAGGGAGGTCGAAGAGTTGGGGAAAGAGGGCCAAGAGGATGGAAGGAGGTGGGACATTGGTCGGAGGTGGGAGTTTTGATTCTGCCAGAGTGGGTTCGGCGACATTATCAACAGCATCCCAGGCCCAAGCATTCGCTGCTATTCCGGAAATAGGTTTGGTGTTATCTATTGCGGGAGATTCGGCTGGAAGATCAGAGAAGTCGCCCCAATCATCGTCTATGTCCTCGACAATAGCAAGTGCAGCAGGCGAATCAACGTATGGTGCTGCTTGGGAAGGTTTCTCGTCATAGGATGGCCAAGCTGTCAAAGGAGAAGCAGATTTAGGTTTATCTTCAATTTTAGTTTTGATGACTTGCTGGGTAGCAAGACCCACCTTTGGAAATGGATTTCTTTGCTGAAATGATGGTGATTTGGGTGCTTGTGGGTATGGCAATGGAGTACCAAGGTTTGGTGACGTCGGCGTGAGGTTGGAACGCTTCTTAGATGGTGGCGTGTTAATATCCATTGAACCAAAAAAATCGTCGAGGGGATGTGAGGCAGGTGGGGGTTGAGATACAGAAGGAGTAACAACACTCTCAAAATCCCCGAATTCATCATCTTCATCCGCTTCCTGGTCCGCATCGAATAGAATTTCTCCGCCCGAAGAACCTCTAGATGGTGGTAGCGCTGGTCGAGGATTTGAATAACTCATATGATTCTTCGACGTAGTCGGAGGTTCTATCGTATCATGAACGTTATTGTTGAAAAGTTCAACGGTTGACCTGCGCATAATTCCAGGATTTGGCTGAGCAGTATCATTTTTGAATTGGTTCCCTCCCTGGTAATTCGGTTTTGCTGCATTGGTGGTTGGCCTAGGGGGTGTAGCTGTTATGCCAAAAGAGCCCCATAAATCTTCTTGCGGAGTTTCACCTTGTGCTGGAGTCAATGGACTCGTGAAGCTATTCATACCGCCCCAAATGTCATCATTTTGCTTCGTAATTTGCGCTGGTGGCTGTTTTGCCTGTGCCTGACCGGACTGGCTACTAGAGTTCGTGCCATCAAAAAAGGAGAAGCTCTTGCTAGCTTGCGGTTGAGCATCTTGAGGTGATTTATAGAATGTATCGAACTCGGCGAGAAGATCGGAAGACATGGCTGTTGAAGGGGGTGGTTTTCGGGTAAATTTTGAGTTGCTATCGCTTCATCGACTTCGTGAGTATCAGTGCTCCCAAAGATTTGGTTTGTTTATCTGCCCAGGAGAATATTTCAGAGCTCAATAGATAATAAGACGAGGTAAAATCGATACTGAGATTCTGATGGGGAATTGGGTCTAGAACAAGAGAACGGGTCTCTTATATCTCTTTATCCACAAACTCCGCTTGCATGAAATGACAGACTTACTTATTTATAGGCATTTTTTATGTGAGCTTCATTTTAAGTAAATGTATACTTTGTCTAAAGAGAATGGATGTGAATTGCAAAGAGCAACAGTTGGAGTACCAAAAAAATCATTGAGATGAAGTTGATTGGGTCAGTATTTCATTTCACGCCGTTGTAATCTCACAAGGCTGAAGAAATTTGATAGAATTTGATTGGCTCACATTGATTAAAATCGACGCTAGATATAAAATCACCCCTCCCCCCACTATCTATCCATTGACTCGGATAGAAAAGGATCGAAATCAGCCTCCCTTTTCGGATATCTTCATCACTTGTGGCTATAATGAGGTCGCTGATAGAATCGAGGTAAGAGTTCTAGGTACAGGTGATAATTCTGCTCGTTATTGTTCTAATGAAAGAGTGAGAAAAGAACAAGATGGCAGGTGACGAAGAAGTCCACATCAAGCCTTGCCGAACTCAAGAAATCAGTGAGACTTGATGGAGAAGATAGCCCTTGTAAAGGCGGTTTGAGATCCGTTTGTTGGAAGGTAAGGTTTAGGTTTCATCTCCATGTACTTTTGAGTAACATTATTATTCTAGACATTCTTATTGTTTCAAAATACAGAGATCACGAGTTGGGCACGAGGACTTGAGGATTCACGAAGTGCTTATACTTCTTTGAGAGAACATTTCTTGAGATTTATCGAACACCCAAATGATTTAGGCTCTTCGTTAGATCCTCTAGATGATGATAAGCACGTGAGTTCTTTTACTCTCGCATCTAATTAGTTTTGATAATCTTTGTCCAAGTATGCTGAGAGACTCAAGTCACCATGGAATACCCTTCGGAAAGATGAAGAAATCCGTGCCGAGATATTCCAGGACATTGAAAGATGCATGCCTGAAGAACCATACTTTCGCCAAGCCGATACTCAACGATTCATGTTGGATGTGTTGTTCATTTTCTGCAAGATAAATCAGGATGTAGGTTATCGGCAGGGCATGCACGAGATACTGGCTCCTATTCTATGGGTAGTAGAGCAAGATTGTATTGATCCCGGAGACATCAATGGTGACACAACCGAATCAGAAACAAACTCATCAGACTCGATCATGAAGCAGTGCTTGGATCGTAGTTTCATTGAGCATGATGCTTTCACTCTTTTGTCTCTGGTAATGAGATCGGCCAAGTCATTTTATGAACTGGGTGACCCAGGTCAAAAGACCTCCCAAAATGGCATTGGAACACCTCAGAATGGCGCTTCTCCTATTGTTGAAAGGAGTAAGCGAATCCATGAAGTATACCTAGCTCGCGTAGACCCGCAACTAGCCAAACATCTTACGGACATTGAGATATTGCCACAAATATTTTTGATGTAAGTAAATATATTTCGCAAGTTCGTTTATTATACACCCGTTGACGGAGCATATAGACGTTGGATTAGATTACTCTTCGGACGAGAATTCCCCTTTGATGATCTATTAGCAGTATGGGATACTCTTTTCGCAGAAGATCCGGAACTAGACCTTGTTGATCTAATCTGTGTGGCAATGCTACTTCGAATTCGATGGCAATGTATGCATACGGGTTCTAAAGTTTGTCATACCTGGCTAACTTGTCGAATTAGTGATGGAATCGAATTACTCGCTGGCCCTCATGTTATTACTCAAATATGACTGCCCCCCAGATCCTCAAACATTCGTCGACGATGCCATCTTCCTACGAGATAATTTCAATGCCACCGGAGGGTCTAAGATCATCCATAAATATAGTGGGAAATCCCTACGGCGAGATAAATCGTCGACTCCACCTGGCACTCCTTCTGATGGAAGCCTTAGCCCTAGACAGATACTCACGAGGAATAGATCTTCACTGACTACCCCTGCTCGATTCTTGCAGCAACAAGGAGGTGTTGAGGCATTGATTCATGGAGCTGCGGGTGCCGCAAAAGGTGTGTACAATAGGGGCGAGCGGCTCGGCATCAATCAAGCTGTGCGTGATGCAATGGAAGAAGTGAAAAAGAACATGCAAGGACTACAAACCCCGCGAGGTAGCAATTCGCCTAAAAGAGCTACTGGTGCTTCACGGTGGTCTCTTGACGACGGGCGTGTAGTGCCTGCCTCAACTGCTATCATGGCAACAATGAACGAAAGAAACAAACAATTGGCAGTCATGCTAGACTACGCGATGAAAGATTTGAGATCTGTTTCTGTGTCACAAGAAAGCGATCGGGAGAAGTACATTGAAGCAATGGAGATAACCATCGCGAAAGTCGAATTCGTGAAAGTATACCTGGAAGACTCTACCATGCCACTTCCAATTTCGTCACCAAATCTCGATGGCGGAAGTGAACCTGCCATATCAGAAGCAGATATACCTAAAGTGCTATTGCCGCCAATTTCAGACCGTGAGCAGACAGCTTCACCAGAACCATCTAGCATACTTTCGGGCCCAGGAAACGCCCTGAACAAAGAGGCAGATAACCCAACCAAGCCATCTATATCAACACCTGACACCCTCACTCCAACGGAAGCAAGCAACACTCCCTCCACCGAACCGTCTACAATTATCCAGCCTGATACAGAAAGAGAGAACATGAGATCTGCAATATCCGAGCGCCCCAAAGCACCAATTCCGAGCAGATCCACCATTGCTCAATCATCCTTTTCTTGGATGCTAGAACCAGATCAGGCATGTAGCCCGAATACCAAACCATCACCCCCAAAGGCTTCTTCTCCATTTTTAAGATCTGGAAAACGGCCCACCTCCGGCGCTGATCGGGAAAAGGCAGCGTTTCTGTTTGGTGAAGATGATAGTGACTTCCAACTCCCAATTCCAAAATCTCCTTTACCTAATGCTGAAGAAGCCTTCAAGCTTGAAACATTGAAGCGAATGAAAGGAAAACAAGTGGATGAACATACAGATAAATAGCATTGTTCTCATCTCGTCTGTCTGTCTAAAGCCACACTTTGATCGTGGACATGCTCAGCAAATGCGAATCTATCAATCCACGAATCACGATTGAACATTGACTTGATCACTTGTTACAAGCCATCTACAAAAAGTGATAGGAAATGGACGAATGGGGTGATCTCCTCAAATCAGCTGCGAGTCTGACCTCTTTTTGAAGGTCGGATAGCAGAACACTACTGCAAGCTGGCAATGCAGGTATACGCGAAATGTAGGAAGCCTCCAATTCGTCTAGGGTATCTGAGTAACACCATCCGAAAAGGGTTATTCATCATATCTCGTAATTGACCCCGGAAATTCCTCGAAACAGGATTTACATGGCTCAATGTAATGGATTCCATCGACGCAATGTGGGCAGGCGTTGTAAATCAGCTGATGGCCACGGAGAGCCAGTCAATATTAAATACATTTTCATATGGGTAACAAAATAAGAAGTATATAAGTCAAACTTCTGTTCTACCATAGATAGAAGTCATATAAAACTATACGTAGATCCTCTCTTCATCAGCAGCTATTCCTGTTGTATGATATCGAGTCTTACTCAAGTTTTCGCCTTTGATTCGAAACCCCCGAGATGATTTGTTGTTGGGAATACTTGAGTATATGAATGATGTACTGCGTATAGTATATACCAATAATATACCTACCTGTGAAATGTATTTGATGCAGATGATCGATCCCATGGATATGGTTTTCATTTTTCTTATGAGATAGATGGCTATGCCCCACTTTTAGAGACACGGGGAGGTGTATGTGAATCAAATTAGAACCCCGCCCTCCGATAAATTTAGCGTCAAAAGCTTTCCAGCAAAAAAAGGAAAAAGCACTTTCCCAGGTTAATAACCCAGCCATCCAGCCATCCAGCCATTTTCCATCCCTCCCTCCCTCCACACACAAAAAAAAAGATCCATCAATTCTTTCAAAGACAATATCTAAACCTCATTGTCATCAAATTTCTCTCCCCCTTCTCCTCTTCTTCCTCTTCCTCTCTTCCCTTTCCCTTCCTACCCCTCAACTCCCAACCTTCAACTACCACCCACTCCCTCCCCCACTATCTAAATCTTCTTCCCCTCATCAATCACCTCGACAACCCTTCATCCCTCTTTATCTTCCCGATAAACACACCTCGACTCTTTACACTAAACCACTCTCATAACTTGTCTCTTTCTTGATATCTACAATCAAGGTATGTTCCATATACGAGTATTGGAAACTCTTTTCCTTTACCACAATCAATGTTTGGATTTGCATTAAATTCCACTGGCGCATTCAATATCGCATTCGAATAATAACATATGTCGTTGTCTCCGGATTGTGATTTCTTCAAAACTTACAATTAAATTCCAAAGGCTAACTTTTATCAATCAGATCTATTCAAGGTTACCTCATTCAAGTTTCCATTTTCCATAAGTTGAATTCGAAACAAAAAAACAAAATGTCTTCTCAAGATAATCGCGACAATGCTCCCAATGGTGATGAACTCACCGATAGCATGGATCGCTTGCAAGTCAATGATGAGGCTCGTCTTGGTCCCGATGGTGAACCCCTCCCAAAGACAGATGAAGAATATGCAGAATCTCAACTCACCTTGAGAGCCATTGTTTCTTCAAAGGAAGCTGGTGTCATCATCGGCAAAGGTGGCAAGAATGTCGCAGACCTCCGTGATGAGACTGGTGTGAAAGCCGGTGTCAGCAAGGTTGTCCAAGGTGTTCATGATCGTGTCTTGACTATCTCAGGTGGATGCGAATCTATCTCTAGAGCTTACTCCATTGTTGCAAAAGCTTTATTGGAGGGTGCACCACAGATGGGAATGGGCGGAGCTGTCTCAAACAATGGCACTCATCGTAAGTCAAAGTTCCATTTGCCTTATCTTAACGCTTGATCTAACTTCCTTACCTAGCAATCAAGTTATTGATCTCCCATAACCAAATGGGCACCATCATCGGCCGACAAGGACTCAAGATCAAGCATATCCAGGATGTTTCTGGTGTTCGCATGGTCGCACAAAAAGAGATGCTACCACAATCTACTGAACGTATTGTGGAAGTTCAGGGTAACCCTGAGGGCATCCAAAAAGCCATCTGGGAAATCTGCAAATGCTTGGTCGATGACTGGGCACGAGGTACCGGTACTGTATTATATAACCCTGTTGTCCGCACTCAAACTGGTGGTTCGGGTGGAATGGGCCAAGGTGGTCTTGGAGGAACTGGCCGTGAATATGGTAGCCCACGTGTTACGCGCACTGGCAATGGAGCCGATTTCAGTGAGAGCGCTCCACGATCATACAACCGCCGATCCGACTCGGATGCTGCTCAACGTGGACCCCCCACCCACGATGAGAACGGAGAAGAACTTCAAACTCAAAACATTAGCATTCCATCTGACATGGTTGGATGCATCATTGGTCGGGCTGGTTCCAAGATCAGTGAGATCAGAAAGACTTCTGGAGCTCGTATTTCCATCGCTAAGGTATGCATTTATCAGGTCCCAGGCCCACTCCTAAGAGACACCTACTGACAAATTAATTAGTCTCCTCACGATGAGACTGGAGAGCGCATGTTCACCATCATGGGCACTGCTAAGGCTAACGACTCAGCTCTCTATCTTCTCTACGAGAACCTTGAGGCCGAGAAGCAGCGCCGCAGTCAAGGCAACGCTCAAGAATAAATCACTAGCTCTGTTTGAGCACATCAATTTTTTTTTCAGGCAGGCAGGCTTTGTCTCAGGTCTATCCAGATTTGACTTGCCGCAAGGCTGATATTGATGCGATGGTTCTACCTTGGGATTCGTTGATGAATTTTCTTTGGACCGATATTCCTTTTCCCCACAAAAGCAGTTCCTTTTACCGTTTCTACATTTCCATTTCTTGCGGCGCGGAATTTAACGAAATTATGGCCATTGACAATTGCCCGGTGCACACATGGATTGCCCTTATGCAAATGACATTCCCCTATTGATACAGACGATTCGCCTCGACATTCGACAACTAGAGATACCGACCTCCTATCTCGACTCTCAGCTTTCCGACGTCCCAAATCGAACGAACGAGAATCGTCCTAATCTCGACTTTATGCTGGCTATGGCCTGATAATTCTCTTAAGTTACGAATCATGATATGAACATCACCCTTTGAATCAAATCACCTGCACTCGACACAATTTTCCCACTCGTCTTTCACATCGCTCTTTCGAACACAAATACGACCGCATAACGAATAGCATTATCTCTTCTCGGCTTTTGATCTTGCACTACGAAATAGGCCCATCGACACATTCAGATATGTTCTGAGAATGTAGTAGATAGTCCATTTGAGTAGATTTAGAACAATGCGAGTATCCGGAACTATGAATTTACTCTTAACTACGTATCAAAATGCAACAACGTTGAAATAAGTCTAATTTTAAGTGTCCAACTGCAAACTAGGTTGTGGGTCCATTCTTCGTACTTGCCATCCTGGATAATCTGCGGTAGTCTATTCCAATACGAGTATATGGATTAGTTTGCGGTATCTATCCCATTCTTTCCATTTCATTCTCTAATATTACCACTTCCAACCCTCCTTTTCTTTCCCGGAACATCATCCTCTCCCACCATTATAATCTGCCCCACCAGCCTTCCTACATAGCTTCACAATCTCCGCTTCATCCAAATCTTCCATGCCCCTTGCATCTACCGTCACACTATGATGATTCAAAACGGCTTTGACAGCACCACTCTCAATGCTCACTCTCGCCTTCCTCATAATCTTTGTCTGTTCCCCAATCCACACAATAAAGACAAATTTCACTCTTGAAGTTTCGCTATCGTTGGCATATTCCACACGTAAATAAGCATATTGTGCTTGTGCGGGGTCCAATTTCTCCCGTAACCCAGCGAGGCCACCTTCTCCTGTGGCCGTGAGGGCAAGTGAGTCGCCGGTGGTTTTGGCGTAGGATATTATGAGCCAGTTGATGGGGGATTTGTCCGAACGCACGTCGTCGTAGGCGGCGAGGATCTCGGGAGACTTGGCATTGGACATTTTTGGGTTTTGGGTTGGGATTAGGGTTGGAGGGGGGGAGGAGAGGATAGGTGTGCGGGGTGGAAGGGTTGAAGGGTTGAAGGGCTCGTGAGGTTGGTTATTTGTACTTCCGGGTCGTGGAAATGTGACGTTTTGAAGTTTAGTTTGAAGTTTAGTGTCAAACTTACTTGTAGAGAGAACAGAAGAAAACTACCAGCGAGGAAATATAAAAAGGAGAGCCCCACGAACAGCAAATGAAGGCTAATGGGTCCCTCCCTGACTTACCTAGAACAATTGCGGATTGAAACTATTCCACGTCGCAGCAAATCTGACCGCCTTTTTTTTATACTGTAATGCAGAGGAGCAGAGGAGCATAAATGGGGTTCTCATGTGGCTTGTACTTGGTGATCATCTAGATTATGATCTAAGAACGAACTAAAATAAATTGTGGCTAGATTGTGGCTAGATGTGGCTGCAATACAAGGCGAGATTAGAAGTGCCGTTAACCGCTACTCCCTCGGACGTTACAAGGGGAAATAGTTGAGGACATTTGGCAATTGGAAAGATATATCTTTATTAATTACCCGTCGCACATCTTCTGGTATACTTTCTTTACGCTCCTTTCTTTTTCTTTTCAGTCCTCTTGTTTATACCCCTTGTCCTTGGCTATTTTATCTGCTTCAATTATTGCGGTCTTTACTTTCTTTACTTTGCACCTGAACTTCCGATTTCCAGAAACGAATTGTTTAAAGATGGCAAGAACAAAACAAGCTGAACCTTTGCGTCGCAACCCATCTTCAGAATACACAAACAAAGCAGGTGCAAATGGGGCAAGAAGTTCAATTCCTAGGAATCAGGATAAAGAAATGAATGGGAATGCGTCGGCACTGAATGGTGTGATTAAGAGTAATGCGCCATTGGAAGAAAAGGTACAGAAAGAAGCTGGCGCATTGCAGTTGATACTTGCTGTTGCGGGAATTTATGGCAGTTTGTAAGTAATAGGGTCGAAGGGGATGATAGTCTAAATTGGAGGGGAAAAGATTGCTAATTGTATAAATGTACAGTCTTACCTGGGCACTCCTCCAAGAACGACTCACCACTACTGCGTACGGATCTGAGGAGGTACCCGAGAAGTTCAAATTTCCCGTCTTCCTGAATACAGTACAGTCCCTATTCGCTGCCACAGTAGGCTATATCTACCTGAAATTCGACACTCCTGCCAATAGCAAGACCCTGCCCATTTTCCCCAGTCAACGAATCCTCCTCCCTCTTCTCATCGTAGCCATTACCTCCTCACTTGCTTCTCCTTTCGGCTACGCATCTCTCGCCCATATCGACTATATAACATTTATTCTCGCCAAATCTTGCAAATTACTACCAGTTATGTTCCTTCACATAACTCTTTTCCAAAAACGCTATCCACTCTACAAATACCTCGTCGTTCTCTCCGTGACAATCGGTGTCGGCATCTTTACTCTCCATGCTGGTTCTTCAAAATCCCACTCCAAACCCAGCAAAGCAGCACTTAACCCCGATCGCAATACTACCTGGGGACTTCTACTTCTGGGTGTAAATCTTCTATTCGATGGTCTCACAAATACAACTCAAGATTGGATATTCCAAACCTTCCAACCTTACAAGGGACCACAAATGATGTGCGCGAATAACATTATGAGTACTCTAATTACCGTGTCATATTTGTTGTTATCGCCATATCTAGTGCATACGGGATTGGGAGAGTATCTAGGTATGGATATGGCAAGCGGAGCGGGAGAATTGGCTGGCGCATTGGCTTTTATGCAGAGACATCCTGGGGTTTGGAGAGATGTACTTGGATTTGCGGCTTGTGGTGCTGTGGGACAGGTTTTTATCTGTATGGTTTTCCATTCCTTTCTCCCTACCTTTCATCAAATGCCCCTTCATCCTAAGAACTAGTACTAACAGGTAAATTAGTTTACACACTTTCAACATTCTCATCTCTCCTCCTAGTAACCATAACTGTCACCCGCAAGATGCTCACTATGATCCTATCAGTAGTATGGTTCGGTCATACATTAGGCGGTAAACAATGGATGGGTGTAGGATTGGTCTTTGGTGGAATTGGAGCTGAGGGTGTCATTGCGAGGAGAGAAAAGGCTGCTAAGGAAAAGAAGAAGTTAACCGAGCCGGGGAAGAAGGAATTGTAGATAAGTGGTGACTGTAGGATATTGGAGCAGTCAAATGATTTCTAGAATATAAAATCGGCTATTGAAAGATTTAATTGTTCGGTACATTTCCCTCAAAGCATTAATGTCGTCTTTAGGGGGCACAAAAAGGAGAGCATTGCCGATGGAAGGAGAGAAAGAAAGTGTTATCTGCAAATCCAAGCTTGTTGGAATCTCTTTACAGATACTCGACAGGCCACCGAGCTAACGGCAGCATGGCTCTCATAGACCTCCAGAGAATATTCTTAAAAAAAAGTCGTTTCTCAAATTGAGCTATGCATCAATGCCGATGCTGTGGAGATGGCATACTTGACATGCATAGTTGCAGCTCAAGCTCCAATCCCACCGCCATATTCATCTTCAGCATATCCAGCATCTAATCTAGTATTTTATATCCGATTTCTCAGAATCGAAATCAAAGCAACCGCAAATTGCATATTCTTATACGATACGAACAAAAAACTAACAAATAATGGCTAGCAAGTGGCACCCGTGGAAATGGGAGACACAGCTGGTCTTTCAAGGCAAGCAAACTCTTCCATACCGTCTCCGATGAGATGAGCTCATTGTATTGCTGTAGTGTTGTGTTGTGTTGGCATAGCGTGGTATGGTTAGGTACAACAAAGAGCCTGCCCTGCCCTGCTTGGGGACGAACGTGTGTGCTACTGCGTGCGGAGCTGGTGCGGAGTGGTTCGTGGTGATTCGTGGTGAATACTAGGTAGGGAGGATAGGGTAGGGTAGGTGGTGCTTTGTATTGTATTTGTATTTGTGTGCGTATTGTTATTATTATTGTTATTGTAAGAGATGGGGAATAGAACAGAACGGAAGGGGTGTGGTTATTCACTGTGGAAAGTAAGACTTACAACTGTTGGTAGCAGTCACGATATGCTGCGCCTCTCGGCTCACCAGCAAGCACCGTAATCAAAGAAGTTTTTTGTGTGCAATCTGTTGGAGTATTAGTTTATGGCTAACGTTCTTACTCGACGTGGTGATGGTTTGTAGATGATGTTGTTGTTGTTGTTGAATACACAATAATCATAGACCTACCCTCAATTATTCCACACTACTATCTTAACTTACTACTCTATCATACATAACACAACACCAAACTGATTCTTTCGATATCTGAATGCCACGAGCTATAGTGAGTCCTGAAGACTTTTATGCTCGCTCGACCTCCAGTTAGACATTCATACCATCTCCTCTGATTCTGACTTCCAAACCCCTTCGAATTCTACTTTGAAGTCGTCTTTCGACTTATTTCCTCGGAGCATCTCAACATCCTCCTCTTTCAAAGCACTTTGAGAAATTCGAGCCAAAGCGGGAACCACAGCATTTGAAATGGAGAATCCAGAATACGACGTGGTCGTGATCGGAGCAGGTACTTCACAACCCAGTCCCCCAGAAGAAACCTAGTGCTGAATCTGGCAACTGATGTAAGCATGAATAGGCCCAAACGGCATTGTTGTTGCGAGATTCTACATGGACATCCATCCCACATGTAGACTTGCCATATTGGAGCAAGACACCGTGGTTGGGGGAGTATGGAGCTCAGGTAGGTCCGATGGTTCTTCATACGTGAGCATGTGACTAAGACTTTCGCAGCACGCCAGTATGAATGTTTTCGCTCCGAAAGCGGTTTGAGAATGACTGGTTTCTCCGATAACCCTCTCAAGTTGCCAGAAGACGCTGAAAAGTACCACGATACTTTCGAGTCAAAATATGTCACGAAGTACCTGGAAGAATATGTTGATAATCACGTCTACAATGGCCAAAGCTTGCGCGACCGTATCATATTCGGATACCAAGTACGAAGTGTGGAAAAGATTGGCGGGGTTTGGAACCTGCGTGGAAGCGCGAGTGATGCAAAAATAATCCGCACGTCAAAGTTGGTGGTAGCATCTGGATACAATAATATCCCTCACATGCCTATATTTCCCAACCAGAACCAATTTCGAATGCCCATCATGCACCAGAAAGAGTTTGGAAAGATTTCAAAGACAGCCTTGGGCTCGGATTCTCCCTATACATCGGTCACGGTGATAGGCGGTGGCAAGTCTGCCGCCGACATGGTCTACGACTGTGTCAAAGCTGGGAAAAAAGTCAATTGGATCGTTCGACAGACCAGAGAAGGTCCTGCTGCCTTCGCTGGTGCTCAAGGTCGGGGACAGTACAGAAACGGTACTGAAATGTCCGCGACTCGATTTTTCGCCGGCCTCAGCCCGTCATGTTTTACCCCCACGTCTTGGTGGACCAGGGCGATTCACCAGTCATCCATTGGTAACCACTTGACCACTAAAATCTGGAAAGGCGCCGATAAGACTGCCGCTGACCTTGCGAACTTCGACACTCGCGAAGGAGCTCTACCTGGCTTTGGAAGCCTCAAACCAGATACCGAAATCTTTTGGTGCAATGGGCCGATTGGCCTTATTCACCATGATGATTTTTGGGACACAGTTGCGAAGAATGTCCACGCTTATCGCAGCGATGTTCAAACGCTCGAGGCAAACGTAGTTGTTCTGGAAGACGGCTCGAAAGTCCATTCAGATATCGTATTCTGTGGAACAGGATGGGTCCATAAATATCCGTTCCTCACCGAGAAGCAAGTGGTTGAATTTGGCCTTCCACATCTCCCAAAAGATGATCCCGAGCCAGAGGCAAAAATGTGGGCAAGTCCGTTGGAAATTGCCGATCAACAAGTAGTCGCCGAGTTCCCAAAGCTTGGAAATCCTCCCGACCACTTCCAAAAAGCAAGTGCTTCGACACCATCTAGGCTCTACAATGGCATTGCTCCTCTCAATGATGACTCCATTGTCTTCGTGGGCCATGTCGTTCTTTCCAATGCTTTCCGTGCGGCGGAGGCTCAAGCGATTTGGGTCACCGCATATTTTGATCACAACGTCAAGCTCCCTTCAAATGAACAAGCAATAAAAGAGGTAGCATACGCGAATGCTTTTTCGAAGCGGCAGTATCCTGCTCACGGCGCCACTGGCAATTACTTTCATCTCGATCTAGTAGGTTATACTGACAAGCTTATGGCTGATGTGGGTTTGACTTCACATAAGCAAAAGGGCTGGCTTGGTAACTTTATGGATCCATGTATTGCGAGTGATTTTAAAGATATGAAGGATGAATACCGTCAGAAGTACGGATATTCTGACTGAGCGAGCGGGAAGTATTCTGAGAGATATGGAGCTTCAGGTTGTTTCTTTTCTTAAGACTTTGATGCACGGTATTGTTTTGGCCAAATGCAAATATTCTAATGCAAACTTTCACCAAGATAATGTTGGGATTCGAGGATATATTAAATCTTGTCCCGACTGATCTTCATTTTTATTGGAAATGATCACTGATGATTCCTGGGTAAAAATCAATATTTTTTGCCGTCAACGCGACCAGGAAATGTAACCCCCCCACACTCACCTGGTTCCAATGGTTCTCACGCCGCATGGTCAACATGGAATAGAACCTTCATCACCATCAATAGTTTCTCCATTCAGAACAGATATTCAGGAGCTGCAGCTGGATGTGGTAGAAGCCGCACTTCAGGTCAATTTATTTTTCATTTGAAGATTGAGTATTGGATCTCGTTTCCGAAAACAGGATTTAGCGCATATAATTCATCGATGCCAGAGATTGCTAGAGCAAAAGAGCCTGCGAAATCGCGGATCACTTTTCTAGTGTCCAAGGTTGTGAGGTTCTTGTACTAGTAGACCGCAACGACATCTTGACATGCGGTAAGAATGTGCAGCCTCTCTCAGTGCCCAAGAAAACAAGGAATGGCTCTCGAATATAATATTTTTGAAGTATTCTCGTGCGTATGCAAACAATTCATCCTGACCTGACCCTTTATAAAAGCAACTGCATGACCCAACCCAAGAACCGGAATCCAGTATGGAAGTGAGTTCTTTGGGCTCAGATAGATTCACGAGAGAATACAATGTAGAAAAAAGCGAAAAATAGTATAAATATGAATACTCGTATAAAAGACCAACAAATCCACCATATCCAAAAAACCCTAACTCGAGTATTTATTTCCGTGTCCGTGATAAGCAAGCTAAATATAGCAATTTCGAAGAACGGTTTAAGAAGAACCGCAGCACTGCATAAGGTCGCCTAGAGCTGAGCTGAGCTAACCTGGAAAGTCACCATTTCAACGCTCTAGGTCTTTTTAACAAACCCCCCCAATTCCTCCTCACCACCCGAGCCAACGAATACAAGAAATCGAAATAGCAGATCAGCCGAGGACTCGACTCGGGGGGGGGGGTCTAAAGTACACCGATAACAACATCTCAACATCAATGCCAAACATGCATCTATCCATCCATCCATCCACACTAGGCTCATACATCATTATACATTATACATTATACGTTGTATGTTATACATTAAGAATTGAACATACATATCATACGCAATTTCAATTTCGATACTGAAATCAGTTAGATGTACTGTAGCAAAGCCGATGATAATATACCGAGGGCGTCTACTCGAATATTGGTCTAATACCCCATAAGTAAAAGCAGAGTGGAATAAATACGCTGGACGGCAAAGGTAGGTAGCGTGACTTTTGCTATTAGGAAGTTTTATAATTTGACCGGTAGATCTGAATCAAAGAGAACTAAATGCCACTGGGCTAAAGTGTTGTTCCACAATCAACTCTTCTCTCATTTCATCTCGTCTCACACTGGACCCACCATCTTGGGGCTTACAAAGTCATAATCAACATCATCATCATTCATATACAATACATTCTCATCGACCCGTTCCAATCAAGTCAAGTCATCACCTTTCCACCCCTACCTCCATCCATATCACCTGCCCTGTATCTCCTGTTCCGTTTCCATTTCCCACTTTCCATCCATCGGCAATTCCCTTTGAATCCCAATTG